TAACTTCCTGTTTCATCTCTTTAACAGGAAGTGAACAAAAAATTCTGCAATAGTGCACAAACAGCAAAAAATAAATTAACCTTTCACTACTCTATCAAAAAAAAAAGCTTTGGCTATACATACACACTAGATGTTAGTGTTATTCCCCGCAGACGACGTGCGTGTGCACGAAGCGCATAGGAGGAGCCAGCAACGCCGTGACGTCATGCCGCCGGAGCATCATGGAGCTCCGGCGGCCATCTTATACATGGGACGGTTAGTCCACACTGTTTACTACATTCGTGTTTGAAAGTGGATATTCACATATGCTCTAATAAATCTTAATTGAATATACTGCACTATGGAGATGTCTCTGCTTTGACTCCCTTGTGGAGTATTAATCTGCTGCCATCCACCTGACCACCGGAGAGGGAACCTCTATAACTACCAGGGGGTAGTACTCAAGCTACCACCGAAGGGATACTCCAGACCATCCTGAAGTCCTACCATTAATACCTAGGACCATAGGAGGAAACTCACTGGGTTGCAGCCACTCTCCGGACCTGGCAGATGACATCAGAGTATATATTCTAAACGCTCATTAAGTTGTGCGTTCTGGTGAGTGCGCATTCTTTCCGCACGTAATCTCACAGCACTTAACCCATAGGAGGATACAGTTATACAAGAGCACCTCAAGTCACTTCAAGTCACTCAATGAACTGTACTATTAATGGTGTCTATATATTTATATATTTGTATATATAGTGTGATTTCTTTTTAGCGCTGCACTTCCTATTTTACATTGTCTATTTACAGGTTTTTGGTTACCTGGTGCACAGCTGCTTCTTTCTTTGTGTGCGCTCACAAATATTTTATTGTATTTAGATGTTAGTGTTATGTTTCAGGGTTGAGGACACAGTAAATCTTAAGTGTTGGTTAGGTTTGATGTTTAGTTTTGAGATTAGCAGTTACATGGGTAAAAGTTAAAGGAAGGATTGGGGAAATTATTTTTAAATTTAAAGTGTTTGTCCAGCCAAACCTCTTTTTCAGTGGAAAAAGATTAGAAAGCCTTTCAGATTTTATCTGCAATCTGACGCTCAGTAGATAGATTTATCCTCAGTTTCTGCCCTGCTACAACATACAGCAATTACCATCTAATACACTTCTAGTGACTGTGGATGTAGTAGTATCCCTGTATAGTAATATCCCTCACAAGGATGAATTAGCTGCTTGTGACAGATTCTTATCATCCTCACCAAAGCACAAATACACTGCTGAGGATGTTACACAGCTCATTGAATTCATACTTACACACAATTACTTTGCCTTCAATAAACACATCTATCTTCAATGTATGGGTACTGCAATGGGAAGTAAAATGGCACCCCAAAATGCCAATTTATTAATGGCTGACCTGGAGGAAAAATTCCTGAACAGCATGGAACAAAAACCATACAGATACTATCGCTCTATTGATGATATTTTCATCATATGGACAGAAGGTGAAGAAAACCTAAAACAATTTTACTCATTGATCAACACTTTTCATCCATCAATCAAACCAAAAATTGAATACTCAAACACAGGTCAACTTCCTAGACACCACAGTATACATCAGGGATGATACACTTCACACCTAAATATACAGGAAACCCACTGACAGATGCAACTACCTCCACAGTTCTAGCTTCCACCCCCCAACACACGAAACGTGCCATCATACACAGTCAGGGCATTAGATACCACCGAATATGTTCTGGCCCAAGAGACAGAGATAAACATCTCGGGACACTAGCAGACGCCTTCCATAAGAAAGGTTACAGGGACAAAACTATCAACACCAGCATAAACACAGCCTTGAGAACCCAAAGAGAAAATCTACTTCAGTACAAAGAGAAAAAAAACAAACAACCGTGTACTAAGTAACCACATACAACCGAGTACTAGAGGGAATAAGAAAAATAATCAAAGATTTACAACCCATCATAACAGAGGAAGAAATATTCCAGCAACCCCCAATACTGGTCTTCAGACAACCCCCCAACCTCAGAAATAAACTAATCAGTAGGAAACTTCCTTCTGATCAAGATGTCACAAATAATGGAAGCAAACCCTGCAATGAAAAAACGCTACAAACTGTGCAACCAAATCAATCCATCAAAAAGTGTCAGACACTCAAAAGGGATCTTCAATATTTCCGGATCATACAGCTGCACCTCTAGTAATGTTGTATACCTTATACAGTGCAGAAAATGCAGCAAAGGATCTTATGTTGGCGAAACAGGACAGAAGTTGCAAACAAGGATGAATTTGCACAGACATACCATCAAGGAACATAAAGAAGATGACTTCTGCACACCTGTGGGACACCATTTAGCACAACTGGACCACACAATGGGAGACCTCAATATTTTAGTTCTTAAAGGAAATTTCAAATCCATTCAGGAAAGGAAAACTTTTGAACTAAGAATGATAATTCTATTTGACACAAGAGATACCGGCCTTAATTTGGACATGGGATTCCTCAATCATTATCCAACAGTTTTATGACTATCAGCTCAAGCTTGACTCCTCTGTGTGAGTGTTGTCTCCCCCCCCCCCTTTGCTTTTGCTGTGTCTTATCCCTAGCTTCTATTTTTTTTTTTCTTCAATCTCTTCTAACATTGTGCTAAAACTTTGTATTTGTATAGTACTGCTTGGACCTTGAAGAAGGGGACACTCCCCAAAAGCTTGTCCTCAAAATTGTATGTTAATGCAAATAAAAAAAGTATCATGGACAGTACTCAATTGTTTCTGTCTTGCTTATGAAAATTCTACTAGGCAGGAAGTCAGGAGATTGCTGACAAAATTTTACCAGACAGGAATCTTTTCAAAGACAACACAGACAAACTGAATAATACTTTCTTTAACAAATCCAGGAGAATGCTAGAGCCCCACTCTGTTTTATTATCTCTGTGTCCCTGTGTCATATTTTACCTCTCTTCCTTTCTGGTGAAACCGTTCTTGGGGGACAAGAAGTAAGTGTAAATCTCTTGAACAGAACATCTATTAGTAGTTATACCATTTGAAATGATTCTCCAGTCTATCCGAAAGTAAACAGTTTATTTTGCCTTACAAATACTTAAAGCATATGATTATTGCCATGACGCAATATTGGATTCACTTCCTCATTGACAATATTGTGAACTTGGTGCTTAAAGGTCATCACAAAGGACAAGGGGGCACTCTTTATGTCTGGAGCAAAAGAGATTTAATCTCCAATTACAGAAAGGCTTCTTCACAGTAAAGATATGTAAAAATGTGGAATAAACTCCCTCAAGAGCTTGTTTTGGCCAGCTCAGTAGATTGTTTTTAAAAAGGCCTGGATACTTTTCTAAATGTATACATTGCTGGATACTAATATTTATAGGTAGTTGATAGTTGGTAGTTTATAGGTAAGTTGATCCAGTGAATATCCATATGCCTCTTGGGGAATCAGGAAGGAATTTGTTTCCCCCACTACAGCATTGGATCATGCTTTATTGGTTTTTTTTTTGCCTTCCTCTGGATCAACTGTAGGTATAGGATAGTGTATATGAAATATTTCTATTTGTTTTTTTTTTTTATTATTATTATTATTATTATGGTGATTGAACTGGATGGACTATTGTCTTTTTTCAAACAGATTAACTGTGTAACTATATATAACTATGTAACTATGACAAAAACAATCTACATTAAGTACAATTTATTGGAGTCAAATAATATTGCACCATGGCATTCAAGTCAAAATGTAATACACATGCAATAAAAAATAGCTGCCTTCTTGCCTATACTTTTTGGACATGAAATCCGTGGTTGCAAAAGCTGTAGCATTTCACACCAATATTTGGATTTTGCCTCTGTAGAATCCTTATTAGCCATGCCATTTTGTGTTGTGAAAAAAGTGGACACTACAAAGTCATTTAGTCCAACAAATGACACTGACATTGTTATATGTCACTGTTTGTAAATCTGTTCATGCTGTATGTTGCTAACCAATGTCTTACTATTGTTAAAGGTTTCAAAGTGGGGCACTATTCCTCCCACTGACACACATGATGGGGCACTATTCCTCCCATGACACCAGTGATGGGGCACTATTCTTCCACTGACACCAATGATGGGACACTATTCCTCCAAATGACACTGATAATGGAATAACATAAAGAGGTGGAGCTCTAATAGGAAGAGGTGGAGCCTAACGATGAAGGGGTGGGGTTTATAGATGAAGGGGTGGATCTTAAACAGGAAGAGGTGGGGCACATTTAGATGTGGGGGGTGCCCAATTTTAGTCTTGCCTAGGGCAGCACAAAACCAAAATACACTACTGGGTATATTATTATACCGCTAATATACACTGGTTTCACCAAGAGTGGCATGTCCTTTTCTTCCTGCTGGTATGTAGGGTAGTTTGTTTATGAATTTGTTTATGTTGATAGTAGTTACCGATTGTGTTTGAATTATGGAAAAGAAACTACCTATTATGCCTGTTCAATTGTATGAGACAGATTGAAGGGCTTGCCTCTACACAGACCTAAATATAAAAGTGAAAGTGAACTGGCAATTTTGGCATCCCTCCAGCAGTGGCCTTGTAACATGACCACTGCTGAAGTATTCATCCCATGGTCTGCGCCAGAGGATTGGTGACTTCTATTAAAGTATTGTATAGTCATACCTGGTCACTAAATCTTGTGTAAATAAACATAGTTATCCTGCCATGGGGGTCCTCGTTGGGGTTATAAGGTGAAATTGCTTTGTCCTTTTCTATTAGTTGTTCTTCTGAGTCACAGTGTCATGTGGGCTGCCAATGGAGACTACAAATGACTGTTTTAATGCACATAAATAAGCATGGTCCACTATTTTCAACATGGGTATCATGTACAGAAATAATTGTGCAAAGGACTCTGAGGTTATTTACCAATTTACAGAGGGTACCGAGTCATCTGTCACGACAGCGTGCACAGAGTCACCTGGCACGATAGCGGGCACCGAGCCATCTAGCAGAACCGTGGGCACCGGGTCACCAAGCTCGACAGCGGGCACGAATCATCTAGCAGAACCGCGGGCACTGGGTCACCAAGCTCGACAGCGGGCACCGAGTCATCTGGCATGACAGCGGGCACCAAGTCATCTGGCACAACAGGGGCACCGAGTCACCAAGCTCGACAGCGGGCACTGAGTCATCTGGCACGACAGTGGGCACCGAGTCTCCTGGCACGACAGCGGGCACCGAGTCACCTGGCACGACAGCGGGCACGAGTCACCAAGTTCGACAGCGGGCGCCGAGTCATCTGGCATAACAGCGGGCACCAGGTTACCTGGCATGACAGCGGGCACCGAGTCACCTGGCACGACAGCGGGCACCGAGTCATCTGGCACGACAGCGGGCACTGAGTCATCTGGCACGACAGCGGGCATCGGGGCACCAGGCTGGACCACGGGCACCGAGGCACCAGGCTGGACCATGGGCGCCGAGGCACCAGGCCGGACCATGGGCACCGAGGCACCAGGCCGTACCACGGGAACCGGGGCACCAGGCCAGACCACGGGCACCGGGGCACCAGGCCGGACCGGGGCACCAGGCCGGATCAGGTCATCAGGCTGGATCGAGTCATCAGGCCTGGATCAGGTCATCAGGCTGGGTAGCGGGCACCAGATCATCAAGCTGGATAGGATCATCAGGCTGGATCGCGTCATCAGGCTGGATCGGGTCATCAGGCTGGATCGGGTCATCAGGCTGGATTGGGTCATCAGGCTGGGTAGCGTACACTGGGTCATCAGGCATCAGGGCATCAGGCTGAACAATGGAAGGCAGGTTCTCAGACAGCAGGCTGACCGGTTTGGATACTGGTAGGATGGTACTGGTTGGAAAGAATTTTCGCTTCTTCTTGGGTTTAGTTACTGGGGCACTGCAAGTAAATGCAGGTCTGTAAACTGATGGAGCAGCTGAAGACAGAGAAGAGCTGGAGGATGGAACAGAGGAGGGAATAGTTGCTACAGCTGGCTTTTTTTACAGGATTAAAGGCAGGATAGGTGCAGCGAGTGGGAACAGGGTACTGACATGTGGTTGATAGTAGGGTATACTGGGCTGGAACTGGAGGTGTGTCGGGAATGCAGGAATAGAGCTTTGAAGAAATAGATTAGAAGCAGGACTGGGTTGTTGCAAGCTGACTGGGGCTGGGTGTAACAAATCTGACCATATCTGTAATATCGGTTGAACAAAGCTCAGCTTACACATAGCCTGTCTGACCAAAGACTGCACTGCGTTTATACAATCCATGAACACATGTGATGGACAAGCTGCATAATGCTTATGGAAGCAATCTGGATCATCCTCCAACAACCATACCAGTGATTCCACTTGATCTGCACTAAATGGGGGAAAAAAGTCATCCCTGCTTTCAGGGGTACAGGACAGAGCCAACTCAGCACAAACCTGGATCAATGGTTGCACCTCAGAAAACTCCATGCCCCAATCCACTAGTGATGAGCAACTTGTATGCATTCTAGCAGCTGATCCCTGGTATACTCCTTCAGAATCTGATTGCCATATTCTCTGTCATCTAAGACTAGCAGACACAAGTATACAACCTCCTCCGGATGCATCCTTCACAACAACAAGCCAAGATGGCTTCCCTGTGCAGCCACTTCTGGTCAGGAATGGCCTTGGTGTAATGTCAGGGCTCCAGGTATGACCAGAGATGTGTGGACCGCCACAGGGAAACGCAGACTTCAGGTATAGTATAAAACAATACAATTTATTAAGGGCTACACAATACATAAACACAGTGCAAGGCTAAACATAAATACAGTGCAAACAAACCAAACCTCCAACAGATAACAATATATACAACACAAAACGTAGTCAGGTGGGCCGGGTCGGTAGCAAACGGGAAGACAAGGTACAAGGAGTAGGCGGAAGAGTGGTCAGGAATAGCCGAGGTCGGCACAGGCAGAGTTCATGCAGAGTCAGGATCAAAGCAAAGTCAGTATCAGGCAGGAAGCAGACAGGATGCAGGTACAGGGGCTCATGGGAACAATACACCAAGGCACTGACTGTAGGCCTGGCCACTCCTTAAATACACCTCCTGCAATCAGCCTCAGGTGATGGCTTGATTGCAGGAGTGAGCTTCTGGCTGCTGAGAGCACCCGCTGGCCAGCCCTGGCACTGCAGCCCACATGGCAGGTGAGTCCCACCACCAGTGGTGAGTCCATTCCTGACAACCCCACTTAATATGGTGGGCACATCATCATGATATTACTTTAAAAAAATTATCTTTTTCTTGATATAAAAATGTTGTCTCCATAATGTGACCTTTAACCTATTTGTGAAATTAGATCAATCTGGCTGTTATGTAGTCATTATAGGTATATATACACTCACCGGAAACTTTATTAGGTACAGCTTGCTAGTCCCAAGAAAACATCCCCCCCCCCACACCATTACACCACCACCACCACCACCAGCCTGAATCATTGCTACAAGGCAGGATGGTCCATGCTTTCATGTTGATTATGCCAAATTACCCTACCATCTAAATGTTGTAGCAACCAGTCTGCCCATTCTCCTCTGACCTCTGACATCAACAAGGCATTTTTTGTCCACAGCAGCAGCCGCGAACTGGATATTTTCTCTTTTTTGGACCATTCTCTGTAAACCCTAAAGATGGTTGTTCGTGAAAATCCCAGTAGATTAGTAATTTTTTTAATGCTCAGACCAGCCTATCTGACACCAACAACCATGCCACGTTCAAAGTCACTTAAATCCCCTTTCTTCACCATTCGGTTTGAACTGCAGCAAGTCCTCTTCACCATGTCTCAATGCCTAAATGCATTGAGTTTCTGCCATGTGATTGGCTGATTAGCAACTTATGTTACCAAGCAATTGAACAGATGAACCTAATTAAGTGGTAGGTGAGTGTATGTATATATATATATACTGTATATATATATATATATATATATATATATATATAAAGCAGCCTCTGATGAGTTTGTTTACATTAGCCTGAAGCCTTTACAATGTTGATATAATTAAAAAAATGACAGTTATCATTTAATAGATCTTCTTTTCCTACTATTGCGTGTTTGGCTTAGCTTCTACTGTTTGTTTTGTTGCTAGTGAACCTCTACTCTTGCTTCACAAAACATATGACTAACAATATTATTTACCTGCTACATGAAACAATTTAGCTGAAGGCAAAATATTTTTGCAATTATGTGGAAAGTCCCTTTAAAGGAAATAATTATGTACATGAGGAATCTCTTGAAGTGAATCTAAGCCCAAATATCATTAGTTGATACAGTCTTTAAAGAGGCCTCAAATTCAGTAAACAAATATGCACATTTGCATGACAGTGGTCTAAGCATATACAAATACACTCACCAGCCTTTTTATTAGGTACACCTGATTAATTGCTTGGTAACACAAATTGCTAATTAGCAAATCACATGGCAGCAGTTCAATGCATTTAAGCATCTAGAGGTGGTGAAGATGACTTGCTCATCAAATCGAGCATCAGAATAGGAAAGAAAGGTTATTTAAGTGACTTTGAAAGTGGCATGGTTATTGGTGCCAGAAGGGCTGGTCTGAGTATTTCAACCATCTCTAGAGTTTACAGAAAATGACCAAAAAAGAGAAAATATCCACTGAGCGGCAGTTGTGTGGATGAAAATGCCTTGTTGATGTCAGAGGAGAATGGGCAGACTGGTTTGAGGTGATAGAAAGGCAACAGTAACTCAAATAACCACTTGTTACAACCCAGATATGCAGAATACCATCTCTGAATGCACAAGACATCGAATCTTGAAGAAGATAGGCTACAGCAGTAGAAGACCACACTGGAGGCCACTACTGTCAGCTAAGGACAGGAAACAGAGGCTACAATACAGACAGGCTCACCAAAATTGGACAATAGAAGACTGGAAAAATGTTGCCTGGTCTGATGAATCTTGATTTTAGCTGTGACATTCAAATGGTAGGGTCAGAATTTGGCATAAACAACATGAAAACATGGATCCATCCTGCCTAGTATCAATGGTTCAGGCTGCAAGGTGGTGGTGTAATGGTGTGGGAGATATTTTCTTAACACACTATGGGCCCTTTAGTACCAACTGAGCATCATTTAAATGCCACAGCCTACCTGAGTATTGTTGCTGACCATGTCCATCCTTTTATGAATAAGGTGTACCCCATCTTCTGATGGCTACTTCCAGCAGGATAATGCACCATGTCACAAAGCTCAAATCATCTCAAACTGGTTTCTTAAACATGACAATGACTTTATTGTACTCCAATGGACTCTACAGTCCCCAGGTCTCAATCCTCCTTTGGGATGTGGTGGAACGGGAGATGTGCATCATGGATGTGCAGCTGACAATCTGCAGCAACTGTGTTATGCTATCATGTCAATATAGACCGCAATCTCTGAGGAATGTTTCCAACACCTTGTTGAATTTATGCCATGAAGACTTAAGGCAGTTCTGAAGGCAAAAGGGGATCCAACGCGGTACTAGCAAGGAGTACCTAAAAAAGTGGCCGATGAGTGTATATTTAAAATAAAAAAATGTTGTACCTGCTAAAAGCTTTCTAAGTCCTTAAAGTAGAATTCCAGGCTAGAACTTAGCAAGCTTAAAACTGCCCCCACTTTCTTTTAACTTCTACTACCCTGTAAGTATATAGCTTATACTTACCTAGTCTCAGGGCACTCTGGTCTAGCCCAGTGGCCAGCTTCAGGCAAGAGGAGAGAGCGCCAACAAAGGATGGAATGCCTGGGCAATGATGTCACTCATAAGCTTATTATTGGGCATCCAGTGTTGGCTTGACCGGTCTGGAGCACCCTGGGAATAACTAAGTATAATAATCTTCCTTCTATAAGGTAGAATAGGTGTTAGGAGAGGGGTGGAAGTCTTTTTCAGCTCAGTTAGAGCTAGCCTGGACTTCCTATTTAATTGTCCCAGCAAATCCAACAACCAAAATATGTACTGTCGGCATTCAATTACGTGTGCCCCCAAGGGAGAGGAATACAGTTATGTGAATCCCAGTACCTCTGCATTTCTAGAATGTGTTTTTCTTTCCTGACAGTACTTCAGATCAGCACTGCCTAGTAGCTGAAGCAGAGACTCGTGTCTCCAGAGAACCAAAGGATGCAAGAAGGTTTCATCTATTTTTGTACTACAGTGATACCTCAGTTTTCATGAATGCTTCTGTTCATGAACAACTTGGTTCGTGAACAGAAGAGTTCACAAAAATTTGATCCGGTTTGCGAACGCCGCTTCGGTTGATGAACACAAGCCGTGGCCATCTTCCCTGCTCTGACACGTGGTCATGACTTCTGTAGGTGAGATCGCTGTTACAGACAGACACTGAAAGTGTACTGTGAAAACACTTACAGTACTGAGAAGCTTTTTGGTGTGCTTTTTAGCATATACTTTACAGTACTGTGCACACTTGCTGTAAAGCTTTTTTGTGTGCTTTTTAGCACATACTGTACTGGACATCCAGTGTGGATCCAAAGAACATTCAGAGCAAGCATGGTGGTAAAAAGAAA